TGCCAACACCAATTTATCAGAAATAGACAACATTATGGTTGATCTAGCGAGATATGAAGATCACACTCAAGCCATGTTACAGCCTTTTGTCAAAATAATTGCCCAGAACAAGGCAACAACAACAGTTTCATCCAATCCGAGTCGAGATGAAGCTTGATTCCCTCCAATTAATTTACCCACTTTCTCAGGAAAAGATGAGGAAGATTGGGACGAATTTTAGAACAAATTTGTAGACCTTGTGGACTCAAAACAATCTTTACCTAAGAGTAGTAAATTCTCTTATCTGCAAGGTCAATTATCAGGTGAAGCTAAAACAGTAGTATCCCATCTAAGGTTAACTAACGATTGCTATGACCTCACAGTACAACTCCTCAAGGATAATTATGCTGATCTAAAAGTAAGAACATCACATTTAATACATGAGCTGTTGCATTTACCCCTCACCGGAGGCTTCAGCTGATTCACTCCAAGTCTTCAAGCTGGAGGTAGAATCCATGATCAAGGTCCTCAGCCTGACAGCCAATACTAATGTGGCTGAGTGGATCTTGAAAATAATTGTCCAGGAGAAAATACCAAGGGACATATTGAGACAAATGAGTGCTCATTACAATAAAAGTATCTTATCCATGAATGAGATATCTGAGGGTTTACGTTCAGTAATTCATCAACTATGAACACATGACAAATTAAAACCACCAAGTAAACCTTCAGAAATCAATAATAGTAAACCACAGCGTACCAAAGGTACTTCAAATCAATCTAGACAATATAATTCAACACCAAAGTGGAACAGTGGCAGTGTGGGCGTATATGCAGTGGGACCCTCCAAGCCTATAGTTACTGTGTCACCCAAGACTGTGACACCAAATTGTAATGGAAGCTATGGAACATGTTTGTTCTGCCAAGAGAAACATTCAATGTACCACTGCCCTAATTTTCCTGATTGTGATGCCCGTGTTGAGTGACTCAGAGTTGCAACATTGCACGAGGTGCCTCAGGAAACATAACATCATCAACTGTCAGGCCCAATTACACACGTGATAGGTGTAACAAGGGTCAGCACCATGCAGCATTGTGCGGAGACACCAAAACAAGGTCTCCAAACGCCAAGGTGGAAGATAGCATTCCCACCACAGTACAGTACTGCAAGGCGCAACAAACAATTAGTGTCCAATCAGCAAAGTCCAAAGGTAATACGACTTCAACAAGGCAGCCGACGGGCGAGCAGCCGAGCCCAAGACACCGGACCCCGGAACAGCCCCAAGCGCCCCCACGTCCTCCCCAAGCCAGTCTGAAGACAGCTCCAGGAGGGAAAAGAAGCGCAAGGCCAAAGCCAAGAGGCCCCTGGCGCGCAAATCCTTTGCCACCTGCTCAGCCAAAAGGGAGGGAACCTGCACATGGAGCTGCAGAACACCAACATCCTGGGGAAGGGCAGGAGCAAACAAGTACTCATTGAGGTGCTCAAGGTCGCCCCCCAGGAAACCTGAACCACAGGAGAAACTTCACGCCACTCAAGAGTGCGGGGAACAACAGAAGGAATGCCAGGCCTCCAAAGCAAAGACATGACAGTCCGCCAGCCAGGACGACTCTGGAACCTCGTAACGGACCCAGAAAGAGAACGAAGTCCCAAACCTGAAAGACGACGGATCCATCACCGAGGCATAATCCGGGTCACGCGGGAAACAGAAAACCTCCAGAAAGACGGAACCGATGCACCCAAGGGGACACGGATCCAAACCCGGGGAGGGGCAGACACCAAATCCAAGTCGTACGAGGAGGGAGGAAAAGAGAACCCCACACCTTGTAACAATAAGCCCCGCTCCGAGGGTAGAAAACCCCAGGCGGAGTCTAGCGGGGCCCAAGGCCCCCCAAGTCAGCCCCTCCCCAGCTCCAGGATCTCCCTCCTCGAGACCCGGGGCCGAGTCGTCCCCCAGAGCACTGGCCCCTAAAGAAAAGGCCGGTGCGGCCGAGTAAGCCGAACAGAAGAGGGCCCACTGGTCATACCTAGAGGCTTCGGCTGGGAGATCGGACTCGAAGGCCTCCGTCGCCACACCGGAAGGGGCATCCCCCGAGACTCAAGACCATCTAAAAACCAAGCAGTCAGACAGCCTAGCAGAGGCAGGTCCCGAGGAACTTGTGGACGGTGGCCCCAAGCCCCAAAGGCAACACTTACAGGGCACCTATGGACGATAACCCCTAGGCGCATGCAGCCCGAGTACCGTGGAATAACTCCTGGCTCTCGCACCCCTGGAAGACAGCCACCACACGCTAAGCACAGTGCTGAAAAACGCTGGAGCCAAGCACACGACCACTGCCTCTAGCATCAGCCTGAGAACTAAGGGTGGATAGCCGGCGTGAGGGGTCTGGGGCCTCCACTTCCCCCTCCTAGGGAGGGGGGGAGCGGCGCAGACAGCGGCGACGAGTGATCTCATAATCGTTTGCTCGTTTCTTTTAGGGGAGTTCTATTCACTTGTTCGGCTTTTGGTACCAATATTTTCACCAGAATAGGGGTTTGTTTTGGGATGCTTACCTTTCTGGGTGCCTGACCCGGTCGATGGCAGACATAGAATAGTTCCAACCACACGGGGGTTTCTATAGGCCATTGCTCCCCTTGCCTCTTCTGAGGGGGCCAGGTTCTGGCTCGTGGTCCCTGGTTGGCCCATAAAAATTCCATACACATGACTGATGTCAAAGTCTGACATTAGCATATCAGCCTAGTAAGCTTCGGAGAACAGAAGGGGGCTTCCCCCAGAAAATACTCAATTACGGAAGCAATTTACAACTGGGCTAAAGTTTGGGATGCAATTAAGGAGTCAACATTATGAAATTGTTGGAAAAAACTCCTGTTGCTTGATCATGCTGATGAAATGACTGAGGAAGAAATGGATTTTGAAGGATTTTCAAATGATATTTATCAAGAACTGCGTGCCGCTGGAGAGGTGGAGTTAACGCTGAACGATGTGGAAGAGTGGTTAGATACTGATTCAGTCGATCCATCCATTGGTGATTTAACAGATGATGAGATTATCCAAAATGTTACTGGCACTGTTGACGACGACAGAGAAGAAGATGAGGATGAGCATGATAGCAGGTTACAATCTGCTACGAGTGCTGACATATTGTTCCATGTTGAAAAACGCCTTGATATTGTTTCACAAACTGACAATCCAGAGCTACCAGACTTTTATCAACACCTAAGGATGATGAAAGATATTTGTCTCAAGGATATGACAAAAGGAAGGAAACAAACAAAAATAAGTCAACATTTTTCATGAACTAGTAGCAGAAAATCAACCAGCACAGCCGTACCCAGCAAGAGCACAGCCATACCCAGCACCAGCACAGCCATACCCAGCACCAGCACAGCCGTACCCAGCAAGAGCACAGCCATACCCAGCACCAGCACAGCCATACCCAGCACCAGCACAGCCGTACCCAGCACCAGCACAGCCGTACCCAGCACCAGCACAGCCGTACCCAGCAAGAGCACAGCCATACCCAGCACCAGCACAGCCATACCCAGCACCAGCACAGCCGTACCCAGCAAGAGCACAGCCATACCCAGCACCAGCACAGCCATACCCAGCACCAGCACAGCCGTACCCAGCAAGAGCACAGCCGTACCCAGCACCAGCACAGCCGTACCCAGCACCAGCACAGCCATACCCAGCACCAGCACAGCCGTACCCAGCACCAGCACAGCCATACCCAGCACCAGCACAGCCGTACCCAGCAAGAGCACAGCCGTACCCAGCACCAGCACAGCCATACCCAGCACCAGCACAGCCGTACCCAGCACCAGCACAGCCATACCCAGCACCAGCACAGCCATACCCAGCACCAGCACAGCCGTACCCAGCACCAGCACAGCCATACCCAGCACCAGCACAGCCATACCCAGCACCAGCACAGCCATACCCAGCACCAGCACAGCCATACCCAGCACCAGCACAGCCGTACCCAACAAGAGCACAGCCGTACCCAACAAGAGCACAGCCGTACCCAGCACCAGCACAGCCATACCCAGCACCAGCACAGCCATACCCAGCACCAGCACAGCCATACCCAGCACCAGCACAGAAGCAGCTGAAGCCAACACAGCAGCAGCGAGCACCAGCAAAGCTGATGCAAACATCTAAAAACATCGTGTGTGGAGTGAACAGTTAGAACAAGTGTTAAATTTAAGAGTGTACATAGTGTCAAAATTAAAGTTGCAGTAATTTTAGTGTACAATAGTTTTCATATACAGTACTGTATTATAGTACTCAACATACAGCAGAACTTTCTTCCTTCCTACTAGCTGGTGGATCAGAAGGCAGACTGCCTGGTGTTAAACTCATGTTGTTTACCGACTGTGAAAGCCTGATTGACTGTAAATAGTTGAATGACTGTAAATGCCTAACCGGTTGCTACCACAACTGTGAATGCTTGACTGCCTTTGGTTATGACTGCCTGTGACAGGTCTTGACTGTGAATGCATGACTGACTTGGAACTGTAAGTGACTGGTTCTGACTGGCTGCCACATAACAGAGGCAGTGAAATGTTTGAAAGGAAAATCTGGAATCAGTGATGCAGATATGAATTCGCTTAAGGCGAGCAGGGGATGGTCTCACCAACTCCTCCCTCTCTCCTCACCGTCTCCCATACGCCAGCAAGATTCCTCAGTAAAGGTGAAGTGCAATTAAATGTTCACTTATTTTATTTATTGTTTATATTTATACCCAATTGTTTTGTATATGAAAAATGAGTAGTATTCTGTATAAAATGTATTTTTAAGTTAATATTTTTGGGTGTGGGAATGGATTAATTCAATTTACATTATTTATGGGGAAAATTTGTTTTGGTTTACAAATTTTTGGTGTACGACGTGTCTCTGGAAATGGATTAGGATCGTAAACGAAGGTACCACTGTATAGTATATATATATATATATTTTTTTTTAACAAATAATGATAGTGTAAAATTACAAATAAACACAGAAATATTTAAGATAACTTACTTTTTGGAAAGATGTCTGGAAACATCAGACTTCTTAAAGCCATCAAGAGAAATAAGTCGTTTTGCCAGTCTAACTGCAGATGGGATGTCCACAGCCTTGGGACTGTAGTGAAAGCTATGTAGTGAGTCTATATCAGACTCGTCCTCACTTAGAGGTGGCGAGGTGGTGCTGGAGGTTCGTATGGAAGCCTTGCCTGTTCCATCTTCTTCTGAAAGACATGTAATTTCATCCTCAGATTCACGCAATTCCTGGTAAGCAAGGGTATCTGGGGAGAGAGTGCCTGAGCCAGGGGAAGGTGGGCGAGTGTTAGTCGGGGTTATATCAGGATCACGCAAAGCATCATTACTGTCCTGGGGATCAGAATAGAGTGGTTCACTGCTTTTCTGTAAATGCTGGGGTCGTTTTCTGCGGCTATTCTTTTCAGGTCCTTCCACTTTAATCACAATTCGATTTTCATCCTGTTTTTTTACTTTGCTTTTATCAGAGACTAACCCTCTATTCTCAGATGTCATTACACCACCCATATTATGACCGTTGGGAAGAAAATCTTTGGTACCAAAACTATTCACATAAGATGAAGGGAGGTGTAAAGTTGGTGTCGTATCATCCCACTCAAGTTCATCAGGCACATCTGTGTCCGGACTAGTTAGGCTAGAGCTGTTAGAGCACACATTCTCAGATCTGTTAGAGCTGCCAAGCGAATCACGCCCACTACACATTTTATCATACACTCCACTACATGAATACTGCATGGAGGATGTAGGAGATTGGGGAGAGGTAGGGGAGGGAGATCTGATCAGAGGACTGTCAGAATCATGACTCGAGTGAACACTGTCAGGGGAAGTTGGGGCATTAAAAGTCCATACAATACGGCGGTCCTCATGAGGAACAGGGGAAGTACTATGATCATCACAGGTATCTAGAAGAGTGTTTAGTGAAGACGTCACATCATCATCAAGCTCTATGTTAACTGCACACATATTATCCTTCTGGTATTGCAAGTGATCTTCCGATTTGGAGATTCTCACGGAAGTGCTGGTTGGGGGGTAAGTAAATTGCACACCACTAGCATTACTATCAACAGACACAGGCGAACACAAACTCTGCGGACTTCCCACTTCATGTTTGGCTAACCTGCTACCACAAATGTCTGTTTCATTAGGACTTGTTGGAACACTGGCGCTACCTGACTTTCGCAAATCGTCAACAGTTTTCTGCTGAGGTAGCCAACTGGGATCATGGGAAGTCCGTGAGAGATTCAAGATAAGGTCACCTGTCATCAAGTATGCTTCACTTCTGGGTTTCTTCTGCTTGTTTCGCTCATTTTCTGTTGTTGTTCTATCTTTTAAATGCAAACCATTCTCCGAAGTTGTATGGTTTGACCCATGACTGATAGATGTTCTGTCAGAGGCATCAGAGAGTGTAGGACTTGGAAGGGAAGGTGGTGATGATGAGGACTGTTCAGGTGGTGTTCTGCTGGAAGATTTTTTTGCCTTAATGTGTTTTATACCTTGCAGGTCATCCTGAGTGATTGCTGTTCGTAATACATCAGGATTGTTTGGTGTCGCTAGGTACTGCTGCACACGCTGCTGAATTCCAACATCTGTTGATAACCAATTTAGGTTACAATTTTAAAGTTACTATAATAAAAATTCTATATTTAATGCACAAGCAGTTAACAGATGCAATGCATTCCTGGACATTGAGATAAATCATTACAAGATGACAACTTACCAGTTTTTAATTTGAGTGTCACTTCTGAAGTTGATAAACGAAGACAATTGAGAACTGCAGGAGAAAAAAAATAGTTAGTGCAAGCTACTAAAACTTATCAGATTTGCCCTTTCAATATGCTGTTAGCATTAAACAATTATACACTTATTCTCAAAACCAACTTGTTATTATCAAACTGTGAGCTAAATGCAACTGCCACACACCGTGAGGAGCTGTCACATATGTAATGGGGAACTGTCACACACATAATGAGGAATTGTCACACATATAATAGGGTACAATCACACACACAATGAGAAACTGTCACACACATACTAATAGGGAACTGTCACACACACAATGGGGAACTGCCACACACTGTGACATACTGTGTAATAAATCTATTTAGTTTTTATGATAAAGCCATAGAAATACTACAAGAAAAAGGTGGTTGGGTTGACTGTGTCTATCTGGACTTAAAAACCAGCGATGAATGTAATGAAATGACATTTTCTCGGTAGGGGCCCCAGAGGCTCCCTGGAACTATTGGACTGATATTAGCTAATATTAGTACAGTAGAACCTCTATTAACGAGTTTAATCCGTTCTGGCACCGAGCTCGTTACCTGGAAAACTCGTCTTTGGAAACAAATTTCCCCATTTAAAATAAAGGAAATAAATTTAATCCGTTCCACTCCCAAAAACATCCATACTTGTATGACTTTTTTTTATGTAAATATAATACTGCACATGTAAATATAAATGTTTTGTTGTAGTGTTTTAATATTTACTTTACCTAATGAAGAGTAGTTGCTGGCTTGAGGGAGACGATGGAGAGGTGGGAAGGAGGAGAGGGGTTATGGTGTGGAAGGAGTATCCACCTCTGAGTCAGGCGAACTCTCTCTTCTTGGGAATTTCACTCAAATTTCATTTCAAATGTCACACAAGGATGCGTTAGACCAGCACCAAATAAAAAACTACGTTGATTACACTCGTTGTGTCAACAATATAATAGTCTTACCACGAAGATACAATACAATGCCGTTTTCTCAAATAGGCAATGTGGTTATTAAAGAAAACTGAAATTTCATGGCAAACATGTATACAATCCCTAAGTCGATCGGATAAGAATTGGATTTTATAGAAATATTTGCTCAAATGATGCTTGAGCGCGGTGTTTGGGTGCATTCAAGAGAAAAAAAGTGTGTTACGTTCAAGCGACATATACCTGCGAAAGTGATAACACTTTCATAAAGTGTTATCACAAAGTGATAAATTAATTAAACATTTTCACACACTGGGTTGTCACTGCTTTATCAGGGCAGCTTTTCCAAGAATGCGTTCACCTTTTCAAACATTCCAAACACTTCCCTGATCTCAGTGGAAGAGGCAGCATCCTCCCTTACCTCCTCATTCCCTTACTAATGGTGCAAATTGTTGATGAGGACCTGCCATACTTCCTTGTGAGATCAATCACACAGACACCACACTCATGCTTTGCTATAATTTCCTTCTTGAAATCCATAATAATTGTGTCTTTCTTCCTCTTGAAAACACTATCTTTAGCAAGCAGCTTCTTTGGAGACATCGTGTGTTACAAATTGTAGTCGCAAAACCACTAAAAACCCAAAGAAAAGCTCAAATAAATCCAGAGGGATGCTTGTCGTGTGAGATACAACAACAACACTGGCGTCGGAGGCGTCCGAGAATTTGCGAGAACCCGCGAGACGCTAGGAAGCGCCATGTGGTTTCACTCGTTAATAGAGGCGAGCTCGTCAATAGAGACAAATTTGCTGCGAGTGGCTTGCTCGTTACTAGAAAAACTCGTTAACAGAGCCACTCGTTAATAGAGGTTCCACTGTACATGGCTTCAGTTATATGGAGTTGTCATGCCTAGCAGGAACCACTAGCCAGAACATAGTCCCCTCAGAGAGGTGAAGGGAGCAATGGCCTGTGATACTCACATGTATTAAAGTACAGTGGCGCCTCGATTAACGAATTTAATCCGTTCCGGCACCAAGCTCGTCATGTGGAAAACTCGTCTTGTGAAACAATAATAGCACTGTTGTCGTAGGTGTCTGAGAACCAGTGGCAACGCTCGTTAATCGAGCAAAAGCTCGTCAGTCGAGACAAATTGTCTGCAAGTGGCTTGCTCGTTACTTGAAATGCTCGTAACTGGAGCCACTCATCACTCGAGGTTCCACTGTATTCATGTCCACTGTATTCGGGGTTGAGCACCCAGGAAGATAGGCGCTTCAAAACAGACCCTACCTGGTAAAAATATTCCAATCTGAGACCGAACAGAGGCGATAAACTCCCCCAAAGAGAAACAAGCTAACAAGCAATACATCTTCACACCACGTGCCACTCATTCGCAATGACCCCCACCGCCCCCCAAGGAGGAGGAGAGGTAGGTCCCAGCCCACCGAGCTGGCAGCTGGACCGTCAGTTTGGAGGCTGAAAAATGGAAACAAAACCCGCAAATCAGCGGGAGGGAGGGTGCCAGGGAGCCTCCGGAGCTCTACCCAGAAAATAGCGTTTCATTACATTCAACGCTGGTTTTCTATGGGGGAGCCCCATCGGCTCCCTAGAGCCCCACTGGCTTCCTGGAGCTAGCTACCCAAAGTGCAGGAAAAAAGGGACGCACCTGGAGGCGGCTGCACCACACAACCCTGAACAAAGAAGGGACAACTGGCTGCAACCGGTGACCAAGGCGACACAAGACTGTTGAGGACCTGGCACAGCAGCCAAAGCCATGAACTTATGAACACCATGGGCGGGAGGGTAGACCACAGGCTGGCTTTATGCAAGAGCTCTGCGGATGACCTGAGAGACCCGAGCCCTGAAAGAGGGAACAAGAAATACAGGGTCAACCCATAGCACGTCCCTGGACACAGAAGCCAAGGCGCACAGGAAATGGTGTAAAGCCACAACTGGACACAAAACATGATGCACCCCTGGCCTGACCATCAATAACCCATGGACCCCTCCGGAAGCCTGCTGGCTCGTTCTTCACCAGAAAAGAAGGAGACGGAAACTCCTTCCGTCTCCCAGGAAAATGCCCCAGTTTTGGACATCGAGCAAGCAGTGCCTGAAACCAAGGCTGGACCTGGCCCGAACGTCTGGCAAGCAAACGAGAGGAGATGGTGCCGAACGGCCAGGCCGCAGACAGAGGAATGAACCAAGATCTGACAGCGGACACCCCAGAAGGGAAACCCCGAGACCACAGCAGAAGAGCCACACAAAGCGGCCAGCCGCAAAAAAGTCAAGGACTGAAGAGACCCGCCATGGTCTGGTAAGGAACCACTAAGGACGGATTGGAAATTGGAATACTTCTAGCGAGCCGAATCCGTCATAGCAAAAGCGACAAAGCTGCATACACCTGCCCCGTGCTGAGAGCCCAAGATAATGCCAGAGCCCACTGTCCCTGGGAGGCTCGGGGAGTACCGTATACAAAACCCCAGTTGAAATACAAGGAATCAACTCCCGCACAGCCGCACAAGCAACCCCCCCCCCCCCAAGAAAAAGAGAGCGAGAAAAATGGCTCGAAGAGCCGAAGCACCACCCCAGTCGATGCAGGCATCAGCGAAAAATGGGAAAACCGCAAAAAAATGCATACAGGTAGTATACCATTGCATTCCAGGCCATGTAGACAAAACCCACCAGAGAAAGGCAGACCAGAGGGAGCAACAGACATCTGGGAGCCCCAGAGTGCAAAAACACACAAAAACACGAGCGTAGCTCTCATCCTGTAACTACACTTAGGTAATTCCACTTAGGTAATTACCAACGGACCTCCTCACACACCCAGTCCCGAAAAGTAAACACCACGATACTGAGCACCACTCTGGAGGCCAGGAACGTAAACAGGAGAACAAAATGGCCGCCAATGTAAACAAAGCCAAAGCAGACCGGGAAGCGACCAAAAATACAGCATACACCGGCAAATATGGCAAAACGAAAGCCAAAGGGATGGAGGGAACGAAAACCCCCACCCCTGCAGCAAGACCCCTGCCCAAAAGGGGTCTTGCTGCAGAGCTTTGTCTTGCTACAAAGGCCCAAGCAGGAGCAATGCAAAGCCCAAGCACACCAATTGGGTTTCCTCCATCAAGCCCCGAAACCCTCCCTGAGAGAGGTTCCGGGGCAGAGCCAACCTCTATGCCCTCCGCCCTTGAAGAAAAGGCAGAGTCCAAGAGAAAAGCCTTAAAGAAGGGAAATGTCCGCTGGGAAGACCCAGAAGCCTCGGCTGGAGGAACAGACTTAAAGGCATCTGTATCCGCATCGAACGAGGCAGTCCCCCCGTTCCCCCCCGGTCTCATCCCAACTAAACCCAGCCCCAACTTTGAAACCCTCAGACGTTTGGGAGCAGGGGGGAGGAGGAAGAACAAGACGAACCACGCTATCAAGGGAAGGACTCAAGGGCGCAGACAAAAGCAAGGCCAAAGCCACCAATGCCCCTAAGTCCGGACCCTAATCAAAACATGGCAGGCCCAGGGCATTTGAGAGGGTGACCAATCTAGCACATTGCAACAACCTAAACCAACCATGCAACACGACAGCCGCTTGACCCGTAAGATCTCCCAAAGAAGAATGGGTAACTGGAAAGCGAGCAAGGAAGAAGACCCGCATGACTCCGGGTCGAATGGTGTCGATGACCCAACAAGCAGCTAGACAGAGGCAGAACAGGTGATCGCCACCCTGAGACAGGGGCAACAAACAACCTGCAAACTTGCTCAAGGCGAGATGGGACTTGGAGGACACATCCAATGGTTACCCAATCCCCGACAGGATTTTCCAGGGCCTGTTGGGGGGGGGGGGTTGTTTCCCTACGGGGAGCCCAGGCACTGGACCTCCAAAGCGGGTTGTATCCCCTTAATATAGCCAGGCAAATTAGCCCCTGTGATGTGAATAACCCCAGAAGCCCAGTTGAGGACTGCCCTAGTGAACCCTAGGTAGCATCTAATATGGACTGTGGCGGCCTTCCAACGTTCAATAAAGCAAACTAAAGAATGAAAGAGAACTCCGAGGAAGGACCACAACTCAGGGGACCAGAAAGAGTCACAGTCACTGCGATTA